AAGCTAGATGGTATAAAGTGAGAATTTCATGCAAGCATGATTGGAAACAATAGGCTGGGTGAGATTAGTATAAACAGCCTAAACAAGTAAACAGGAAGGCCAAAACTAAACTTTAGAGGCAAGCCTCATATACATATATATATATATATGTATATATGTTGGGTCAAATTTGCGTGGAGGTTGAAAAATACAGGGAAGTCATAATGGCCCAAAATAGTGATTTTAGTAATGTAATTCGACAGGCAAATTACAGTAATATTTTTAGCAAATTTCTTTGAAAAAATTTTGTAGGCATAGGGCCTAGGCCTAGCTAGGTATACAGTAATATCAGTTTACAGTAGTTTGGAACGATATCAGGAGTGGGGGTGGTGGCAGTGGCCTACTAGGACTACAATTTATTTGAAGCTATCTTGGGTCCGATTGTCCACACCAGTTGGGCCCAATCATCTGTCACCTGAAGTTTTCATTACGATGATCAAGAACGTATACCATCTAGGCCCTAGGCTAGGCTTAGATTGCTCTGCTACGTATACTACTACCGCATAAAAAGAAAGCGACCCACGCGGTGCATTCTTAAATTGTACACACATTATTAAAATGTAGTAGACGATAACAGGGACGTAGCCAGAATTTTGAAAGGGGGGAGCCGTTATGCGAGATACGTATGACCCCGGCGGGGTCCAGGGGATGAACACCCCTCCCCCCTGTGAAGTAGCGCACTCTGACGTTTTAAGGACTGTTTTGAGAGGATAAAGTGAAAATTGTATTAGACACATGTCATAAATAATATTAGTGGGCCCAGCAATAATTCTAATAAATCAACAGAATCCATGAATTTGAAAGACATGTGTCCCAGGGAGGGATTTTCACAGACTGAGGAACCACCCACCTCAGTCCCACCATGGTTGGGGCTGAGGTAAGAAAACTTATGATTAGGGCACCTCTAGATGGCCGGAAATTACACTTAAATTATAAAATAATTATTAAATTATATTTTCCTTTTTTTTTTCCTCAATCTAGATGTGTAAAAAAAAAAAAAAAAATCTAAAATAGTCATAATCACGAAAAAAGGGCATGAAAAACCAGATCACATTCTAAAACAAATTTATTCCCCCTCTCCTCAACAGTCACAAGACATACTCTGAGTCAGGTGCCGACTCGATGCAGTTTAATGTCATACCCAGAAGGGCACAGATCTGTTTTGTAAGGTTGAGGGGGAGGACATTTTGTGAGTCGGCACCTACCTCAGACTCACCATGGTTGGAGCTGAGGAGCGAAAATGTGAGGAAATAGTACCTAGATGGCCAGAAACAAAACTTTTAGTAAAATTCATTATCGTCACATCACCGTTACTGGTAGTCCAAATGAAGCGCCAAAAAAAAAAAAAAAAAATCTCATGGTCTTTTTTATCAGGGATTTTCTGCAACCAACAAGATCTTATTAATGTGTGTGATATACCATGGATATACCATAGAAAACAAAGCTTAAAAACATTGTCTTTGAGTATGTTCTTTACATACTTCAAAACTGTGATTTCACAACCACCTCAGCCCCACCATGGTTAGGGCTGAGGTGTGAAAATTTGAGGAACAGTACATCTAGATGACCGGAAATCGCACTTTCACGTAGTAAAATTTATCATCATCACATCACCATTACATAGTCAAAATGAAACGCCAACACATTTCTCATGTACTTTATCAAAGATTGATATCCAGAAAAACTTGACCTAACTATAATTTAATATATAAGCTTATAACTATCATCAACAAATCACACCTTTATTTTTCGCCTTTAGCACAATTTCCTTCACATTTTAATATTATTCATATTGCTATCAATTATCATCATCATCATCATCACCATTATTATTATTATTATTATTATTATTATTATTATTATTACTAATATATAGTATTATTAAACAATAGGCCCTAATTTAAAGAAGCTTGCAAAAGGATAAAAACCAAACTGAGCCATACAGTATCACGTTTCTGTATCTTAAAAGACTTGGCCTGGGATTTATGGATTTTTAAAAATCACTCTTATACATGTGTTATAATTATAGTAGGCCAGGCCTGTGTAAAACGAGTACTGATGCATTTTTACGTATTTTAGAAGTATTCATTTTGAGTGGTCCCAGAAAATAATTTGTATTGGCTCAAAAAAAACCTTAAAAAATTTTACACTGTGTAGAAAGTCCCTGGACGATAACACGATATCACTGACTGAACAATCTACCACCCTCGCATCGCAGTAACTACTGTACTGAACTAGGCCTAGCTTAGGCCTAATGTTTTTGTGGAAAGTCAGATAGTCGTTATGTACCCGACAGTCGACTGCCTTTATATCTTCACTTGTCTTCAATTTGTATTCAAAGGGTACATAGCTGCACAGCCAACTGTCGGGGATATGGAACGCCATTGCTGCCTTCGGTAACAGCTTACCATTCGGCGCATTTACATTCGGCCCTTTTACCATTCCGTTCGGCTCTTTAACCATTCGGCGCATTTACATTCAGCCCTTTTACCATTACGTTCGGCTCTTTTACCATTCGGCGCATTTTCATTTGGCTCTTTTACCATTACATTCGGCTCTTTTACAATTCGGCGTATTTTCATTCGGCCCTTTTACCATTCGGCGCATTTTCATTCGGCCCTTTCACCATTCGGCGCATTTACATTCGGCTCTTTTACCATTACGTTCGGCTTTTTTACCATTCGGTGCATTTACATTCGGCGTAGTATTTACATTCGGCGCAATTATAAATAAAATACCTTTGACATTGGGTCAAATGAAAAATTTGAGCGGCTGTGGGAATGAGCCTATACAAGTCGCCGTACCATCCACCATGGCGCAAAGGATTAATGGTACTTTAGGCCTACTAGGCCTAGGCCTATTAAAGATGTACTTAATTAACTTCATTTAATGCATCTTCTGGAGAATTTCGAAAGGGAGAAGGTATTATTATTTTTATATTAATAATAGCAACAATAATAATACAGAAATAATAATAGTATAGGCCTAGGCCTAATGATTTATTAAATGATAAGGGTCGTGTCTGGCCGGTTTTCACTGCCGGAGAGAGAGATGACAACTGACGAGGCATGCATGTGGGGTACTAGGGCTTCTTGGCCATAGGAGCCTAATGTTACTATATGGTTTAGGGTGTGGGGTTAGGCCTAGTTAGGGGTGGGGCCGAGAATATTCTGTAACATCAGGGCCTAGGCCTTGTCATATCACACATTAGTTAGGTTTCTGACATTGCCCTAGATTTTATAATTAAGCATCACAACTCCCCATTTTTGTTTACTTAATAAATATAAACTAGGCCTAGGGCCTAGGTCACAGGCGTGGCCTATAGGCCTATGGCAGGACGTTATTTGACAGGTTATTAATTATTTTACAACCACACAAATGACTGCTAATACATGGCCAAAAATGTATTTTTTAAGCGACTTTTTGAGATTTTTGGCTTAGGGGCATCCTGTGGATGTAATCTATCATGTGAATTGATCATATACCGCAAAAAATGTTTATAAATATGAAATTAATATGAGAGTTACGCATTATATCCATCCAACAAAGCAAAAAAATCCAGAAGAGTGAATTATATCCACCAAGCATTGAAGAGTGAGCAATCAACCAATCACAGAATACAATGATGCTTATTTAATTAGTTCCCTAGCTGGTGGAAGGGCATAATAGTGTATAATAGTATACTTTGATCTGAGTACAATTAATAAAAGAAGAATGTATTGTTCTTCATCTTTTAAAGAACAAGTTGCAATATGACCATGACCAAATTGTGGACATAATATAAATTTTAGTCTATAATATTAATAATTATTATTGTAACTAAGACCATTCAACAAACAAAATAAAATACATACATATCAAACTTCAAAATGTTTTACTTAGACTTTCCAATTAAGCCAATGCTTGGAATTTAGATGTAATACCTATGCTAAATTTACATTTAAAATATTTAGCGATATTTAAATGAGTACACTTCCTTATAATTTAAGGAAACAGAAATTTATAAATGGGCCTGAAGAAGTGGTTTAGAAATTGGGTATTTATTTTTTGTTTATTAAATTGAAAGGCGGGTATTCTTCATAGTGAATTTAAATAAACTGATTATTTATGTTGTAAAAACTTACTAACAGTGTCGTCGTTTGTTCTTTCTGTAGTGGTTAATGATAGTATTTAATTTAAATTTTACATGTACCATACCATATTTTAGGGGAAATACAACATTTACTAAAATCAGATCAGACACATTTTGTAAATATTTTCATGAGAGTGAATGCGATAATGTTGCTAAATAATATAAACAAAAACCCTTAAGAAACTTTCTATTTTGTTTTGTTTTAAGTTATTTAAACTTAATGGAATTTAAACCTCTAAAGTCCTGGTGAAAATTCACTTTAATAATTTGTTATTTTTTTTTTTCATTAGTCCTTAAGTAAAGAATAATGCATGCATTCTGCTGGCAAAACTGGATATAATGCCTAACATTAGATTTTTCATGCTTCATTGATTTTTGTTTTAATTTGGAAAAGCGCATTATGTCCATTTTGACTGGGTTATAGAAAAAAAATATATAAAAAAAGTACTTCAGTATGTTTTTCTGTTGTGTAGTTAGTACATTTACACAAAAAAATTCAATATAATTCATTTCCATAACAAAAGGCTAACAGGAAACGTGTTTTGCTCAATATCTTAAAACTATGATTTTGGCTTATAATGCGTTCTTCCGAATCACGGCAGTGTAGAGGTGCTGCATTGTATGTGTCAGAGACTTATTCTTTTCAGATTACCAGTGACGAAATCTCTGAGCTGCCCAACTTGAAAATTTGAGTGTGACAACAATTGGTGATAAGCACCGACTAAGAATAAATTGTAGACAAACAGGTATTCCTATTTGTACCTGTGTATTGTATCTATCATAAAGTGACTTTCATATGTATATATTTTATGTAAGAATTTAAATTTAATATTTCATTTTATTTATTTTCCCGAATACATACCTGCATATTATGAAAGGTCACTGAATTTCCCAAATTATACATTGCCTGAATTAAGACAACATGCTTTAAACCCACAATTATTATAGTATAGTATTTCAACTTTTCTCTAGAATTAACCTGAGTAAGGGCTGGTATGCCAATAGTATTACAGAATATCCATATAGCTTTGAAGTCTTGTGGATCTGGCGTCATTTTGGTTTCTGGACTATCTTACATCAGACCTTAAATATCACACATTTTTTTTCTAGGTAGGCCACTATTACAGATGATCTGAAATGTGCTCCTAATTCACCTTAAGTTTTATTCAATGTTTTTTTACCTGATCTGTATTTTATAGGATCCATTTTGTCTAAATTTATGCCAGCCAGACACAGCCCCTACACCAAAAGAAAGGAAAGCACCCGAAGACGCCATGGACTCAGAAGATAGTTTGCCTGTCAGATCCATCAACAATGATAACACCAAAATGTTGGCAAAAGCAACAACTAGCAGAAGCTGGGCTTGGTAAAAAAACATAACAGTACATAACAGTATAAATCCGGATGAATTCCAGGAAGTACTATACTTCCCCAAGCTGATGGATGCTGGGGGTTTTGAGATAATAATATGCTTTGGGAGTGGAAGAAAGCTTACCCCAATTAGGGGGCATATTCACCCCTGAATATAAAAGAAAAATCAGGTCAATGTAGAGTCTATATACGACCAATTCAACATGCACTAAACATGGATTCAGAAAGGGTAAAGAGGCATAATATGATCGGTTATCAATCAATCAATCAGTCAAATTCACCTCTATAGCGCAAGTATCCATTAAATCATATTCAAAGGTGCTAAAGTTATGTGTGAATTTGAAAAACATCCTTAAGAAAGTTCTAATAGATAAAATATAAATGACAGTTTATAAATGATTATTAATACATCATTTTTAATTGTTTACTCTTTTAGGAAATGAGGACTCTGGATTGACACAGAAGTGTCCTAAATGCTAAAATAACATTTCATTCTGTGTTTTAAAGAAACATTTGGCAAGCTGTGCAAGTAGCAGGTAACTATGAAATATATTTTCTATTTTGTATTTTTGACATTTATAAATGACATGAATGAATGAAATCAATATGATTGATATAAATATTCATACTTTCAATCTATACATAATTATTTCTTAATATTGAGTCTCTACGGAGCCCTGAAAGGGACTTGGTTTAAAAAAAATATAAAGTATTATTTTGTGAAAATCTCCCCAAATAATATTTCCTTCCCTGAAAATATATTTGAATTCATATTAAATAACGTCTCAGTATTGCATTGTTATTGTAAGAACAGATTCTGATTTCCTAGGTGCTCGGATTTAACCCATAATTTCTAATTAAATATTCCTTGGAATAGCAGTCATACAGTTGTTTTTTTTTTAAATTAGGCAGCTGTTGTAAATATAGACACACTATAACATCAGAAGTTGTTGGCCATTTTGAATATATAATTACACCAGTGTTCATTATTGCACAACATCTTGGAATTAGCATGGTACCATTGCTGCTGGAGAAACCCCGATGTTCAAGTCTGTTTACTTATCCAAGATTTTTGTTTTGGCGGACATTTTGAAAAGAGACAGCCATTTTAATGAAAGTATTCTTGAAATAGGCAGCTGAATTTGGCATAGAATCATTCCTAGAGATCTGAAAACATGCAAAAATACTTACAACACATGATATTATTACTTATTTTTAAAAAATTCTTAACATGTAACTGTTTAAAGTGAAATTTGAGGAAACTGGTGGCCATTTTGAATATACAATTAGTAAAGTTCCGTGATGCATAACACGCGTAACGCCTTCCTCGTTCCGTTATCAAGTGATGGTTTTATAGATTTTTAATTCTTTGGGGTCCAATCCCATAGGAATGGTTGACCCCTCATTTTAATCCTATTTTTATGTACAATCCATTGGTATTACTTCTAAAATGAAATATTTAACTTTAAAATTGCATGATTCTGCCTAATGAAACTGCCATAATTCTGCCGTAGGCTCTATACCTAGGCCTACTTCTTCTAGTTCTTATAGGCTCATTCCCACAGCCGTTAAAATTTTATATTTTACCTCATGTCTAAGGTTATATTTTATTTGTAAATGCGCCGAATGTAAATACGCCGAATGTAAATGCGCCGAATGGTAAAAGGGCCGAATGTAAATGCACCGAATAGTAAAAGGGCCGAATGAAAATGCGCCGAATGGTAAAAGAGGCGAACGTAATGGTAAAAGGGCCGAATGAAAATGCGCCGAAAGGTAAAAGAGCCGAACGTAATGGTAAAAGGGCCGAATATAAATGCGCAGAGAGCATTGCGGTGTTTGGGAGTAATGTACACGATTTTAATTTTCATTCTTTGGTACTTTATTTTTGAATAAGATGCTCCACTTGGCCTCGTTTTGGCTACAATAGTTTAATAATTTGTTATTGCCATTACTCACTATCATTAATGAAATAATAGTAAGTCAGAGGGCTTATTAATATGTAATATGTATACTAAGCCTGAAGGTGGCGCTTTACTACGACGGCCATCTTGGATGGTACACATACATAAATCTGCATTGCTGCGCCATCTTGTCAACACTCTAGTTGTTTAATAGCTCTATGGACTACACGTACAACAGAAAAAAACGTCGCATGCAGTTAGTGAAAAATGGAGATCTAAATGAAAAAACGATGTATTTCAGCAAGTATTAAAACATTTTTGTTTTATTTTAGGCCTTCTTCAAAATACCTATGCCACAGCAGTTGATTATTTTTGCCGTAAAACGAAAATAGTTTCATGCATGCCGATTTGCCGATCGGTTAGCGTGAGCCCTGACTGAACTCTGCAGAAAATCCACATCGAACTTCGCATCGCGATGTAAAAGAAATTGTCGGAAAACTTTTCTTTGACGCATGCGCATTTGCATAAATGTCTACACACATACGCACACACATACTACACACAATAAGAAGTTTTAGATATGCGACGACGAGTAATCTAGGACGATATGCCAATTATCTATGACGTATTACAATGTTGGCCACACAGATGATAAGCTCTTGTTTTAGTTTTGCGACGACGATGCAAATACATACGTCACCACCGGACATGCTTGAGTGAATTGAAAATAAACACTGTACTAACATTAAATAGGCATAATATAGGCCTAGGCCTGCCCTTACTACAAGTAATGGATATTATACTATAGGCCTAGGGCCTAGGCTTTTGTGGGGTTAGGTTTATACTGTGTAGGCCTAGGCCTAGCTACGTTAATGATCAAAAGTACTGTACAAGCATATCCTTCAATTGTAAAAACAATATATCAATCATACTTATATTCTTTCAAATTCTATGTCAAACACATCCATGAATCCTTCAATTTAAAAATAAATCCAAAGCTTCCTTTTATAAATAAAACTGTAAAGTTTTGTAGTACTGTAGCATACATGCTGTACCAATCATGTCTCTGCACTGAATGAACTTGAAACTGTTGCATACGCTGTGTATCACATTTCACGCTTTTTAACAAATTATAACATTGTTACAATTTATTGTTGTGTTCCTCCCCTATATAGTAATCATCTTATTATTCAGGGATCAACTAAATTATAAACTTCCTCAATTTCTTTATATTGCAAAAAACAAACATACTTTAAAATAGTAACTATTTTATGCATCAATATGATTTTAAAAATTTATTTTTCAATTTGTTCAATTTTTTTTATACTGTTCTTTCAGGCCTATTGTTTTATTAATTTGTCATCATCTTCTGGCTTTATTCCACTCCAAATATTATTGTATTATTCATTTTACCCTCCTATATTAGTAAAAGTGGACCAAATAATTTGCTCTTGGTAGGGTTTTGGAAATATTATTTTGTTCAGCAATAAAATTAATATTTATCATTTTTCTAAACTATTTCTTCAGGCATTAGAGAAAGAGTTCGAGCCATCGGGAAAGAAAAATGATTGTGAAGTTGTGCAGGAGTGGGCAAAAAAGTATGTTTATTGGGTGACTTCGTTGACACCTAGCAGAGATCCAATTGAAATGCTTGGGAAGTTTATGAGTTTAAAGAATCATATTCAAAACATTTATATAGGGCATTCAGAGCACTTCCCAAATTGCTTTCTTCCTCCCATACAGGAAAAAAATAGGAATGGGGAAAAAAAACCAGTTATAAAATATAAGCTTATAGCAGAGGTAATCTAGTTGTGTAGCAGTGGGAAGAAAGACCCACAACTCTCCAATCCACAACTCTGTTCTCCACCACCACCTGTTCGTTCAGCATTTAGCATACCAGAGAAAGATGTACCAATAGCTAAACATCTTTCAAGATTTAGCAGTCTCACGTAAACAAGAATCTCAAACCAAAAGGCTCTTTTCAGAGCCATTATTTAACAAAAGAGAAGCAGTTGTTAGTCTGTGTGGTTTTTTTTTTATTTCATTTAATTTGTTCACTCACATACACATACATAATACTGTACAAAAAAAAAGAATAATATTACATTACATAATAAGTGTATGGAAAATAAGAGGCCAAAATAAGTTTAGAATCAAACTTTAAGCCATGACCACCAGTTAAAATTATATTAGGCATACTGTACATCAATAAAATATTATAAATACAATTTAATAATAAATAAATAATAAAGTTGAATTAAGGCAGTGTGTCAATTATTCATTAATTTGACCAAAATGTCAAGTTTACAAACAAGCACATAGCAATTATAACACTACACACTACAGTAATTATTCGTAGAAGTGTTATGAAGATAAGCCTATCCAATAGTGACGTTAAAGGGTCAAAACCAGGACATAACTCCGACTTTAGATTGACAATGATTGAAAAATGTTAAATACAGGCACAATGTATACATCCTATGTACAGAGTCCAGTTAGAATATGTAATTATGCATCAAATTGATATATTATTATTACTATTATTATTATTATTATCATATACATACATACATACAAACATATATTTGAATAGTTTCGTATGATATGTCATATAATTCAGCTTGTCAGACGGTCTTTAAGGCACAATGCTACATCACCTTCGTTAGACCCACTCTTATATATGCCTCTGCCGCTTTAGCTCCTCACACACAAGCCAATATCAATATACCTGTATATATACACTTTTGTATTAACAAAATAACATTATTTAATTCAAGATTTGAAAAAGATGACATTTATCAACTTTATGATGTTTTAAGAATTCCGCATGAAGGGCGATGCAAAAATGGATCCGTATTTGATGGAATCGAGGCATTTTGTATGTTTTTTTATTGTTTTGCGTATCATGTCGATATGCAGACATGGTTCCAAACTTCGGTTGGTCAAAACAGAGTTGTTAGGGCAACGTGCAAAATCGTGGACATCATTATTTACGACTATTGTAACCATCTTTTGGAAACTCTCCAACAGCCATGACTTGCTCCAGATAAGCTCCAAGAATTTTGTAATGTTATTCAAACTAAGGGCGCACCGCTCAACAACTGTTGGGGTGGGGGGTTCATAGATGGGACCGTTCGACCCGTTTGTAGACCTGTACAGTCACAAAGAATTATGTAAAATGGACTTTCATGAATTCATGGTAATAAATTTCAGTCTGCTGTCGCTCCGAATGGATTAATCGCAAACCCCGGCTCTACGAATTATATTTGTAGCTAAAAACATTTGAATTGAGCATCTCTTTCACTAAATCATTGTCCATTTCTTCATCCCATCTAAATAGGAAAAAATAAATTTAAATTCATTGAAAATTTATTAAAAAATGACATTTGTTGATAAAGTTTACTCAAGAATAAATTTCAATTATTGCATACATTTGATGTGAGGGGCTTAGTATTTGAGGTCATCATAATAGTACTCATTTTTAAGAGATACATTAAATCCTCATTTTATTAGTAGAAAAAAAGAAATAAAAAATTAAGATGTTTTTTATTGTGCAAAGTAGCAAAAACTTTAATAGGTTTGAGTTAAATATTGGCAGTGGTATTGAAGGAATATATACGGTAATATTTGTTCATTTACATTGACATATCACTAATACCTTTTGATCTTTTTTGTTGCTGATTCTTGACCTGCTGATGTGGCCAATGGTGCTCCTAAAATTGATAAAATTATACATTGATTGAAATATTATTTGTATTTATTATTTTAAATTATTATTTTATTATTTTAATTGTTTATTATTATTTAATATTATTATTATTAACAGTGTTATTGTTGTTGTTATTATTATTATTAATATTTGGTTACTTTATTATTTTTGTTATTTATTATTATTGATATTTATTATGAATTTTTACTATTATTATTATTATTACTATTATCTATTTGAGTTTATTACAAACAAGTAGTTTTGCCTGCCGTGGTGACCGTATTCTAAGACAAGATCAATAAGAAAAACTTACTAGTACAAATCAGCCTATCTTGAAAACTTACAACAATGGGTATTGCTCCTGGTGTTTGTCCATCTGAAACAGATACAGTAAGCGTGTACAAAACTGGTAAAAAAGATAGACTCAAAATGTGTGTTGTAAAATGCATGAAGGTACAGTATTACAATATTAACAAAAAAAAGAGAAAGAAATCTCTACCCAAAACACACACCCAAAAAACGAACATACCTAGGCCTCAGGCCCCTATAAAATATCTAGACCTAAATAAAACAACACATTACTTAAATCCAATTTAATAAAAAAGTAGTAATATAGGCCTTAAATTACATGCAAAAAGCTGTTGGATAGAGTTGATTCCAGAACTTGCAGTTGTAGTGGGTAGAGTACTATTGAACATTAATCTGAAAAAGTAAAATCAATGAATATTTACTAACTTAGGTACAGTATGTCATTTATTTCTTAGGCCCTAGCCTAGCCCTAGGCCATGCCTAATTATAGGATTAATAAATAGCCTGATGCAGCTGCTTTTTCTTATCTAATTTGTTTTTATATTTTTTCTTCAATCCATATATTCTTGTAGGGCTTTATGTCTCTATGGTAGTAGTAGTAGTATGTAGGATACTAGACCTACATAGGCCTAATATAGACCTAGCCTTGGCCTATACTACTAGGCCTAGGCTAGGCCTTTATATTATTATTAATAGGCCTAGGTCTACACTATATTTTGGTCTAGGTCTATGGGGTGGGTGTTCGTGAAGTTTATCTGGATAAAAGCAAGCAAACAAAAATAAAAGTGATATACCTATACCATTATCAATCATTGAAACAAAAGTAATCATATTCATATATAACGTTTAAACTTACAATTTTCTAGCCATATTTTCTTGGTGAACAACAAAGCCCAGCAAGAGATTCGCGAGCTTGAAAATGAATCTAGTGTTGACCTGGTGTTGACCGACTGCCAATTGACGTACTGTGATTGGTCAGAAGTGTATGTCTGTGACGATGGATTCCCGGCTGATTTCACGTCTTCTACGAATGAACTCGACGAAACCCAAGCATTATAAATATAATTACGCATGCGCATATGCCTTACATTAACGTCATACCGTTCTAGATCTAAATCTCGCTAATAAAAAACAAAAGATATGTGAAGAGTGATTACAATAGTTCCTATTGCATTACATGCATAGGAACTAAAAAATGAAAACCAAGATGGGTTTCAAACTCACAAATTTTGGTTCTTAAAAACACATCCTTTACCGAACGCGCCATCCATGCAACGTGCCGAACTAGTGGTATTGGCAGTAATGTACAGTCCTTGCTAAAACACCTCTTTTGATTTGTAGGTGTAAGGGGAACCTTGGGGTAAAACATAAAAGGACGACAAAGAAAGTTTTTTTGGAAATCACCTCCAAAACTTTCTGCACATTCGTTCAAATCTGGTGACGCTGGACGCCTTTAAGGTTTTGGTAACATGAATCAGGAACAAGAACAGCTGCAGTGTGTGCTGGGGCATCACAAGTTTGTTGTAAAGAAAATTTGTAAGTTTTCAAGATTTTGAAAGAAAGTTTATTGATAATAATTTGAATTGTAATGGCCAATAAAAAAATGAAATCTAACCTCTTCTTCAAATTAACAATCTCTTTCTCATGTTGCTTAGATCTCTTCTGATCTTCTTCAAACTTCTTTTCAGCATTTTTAATAGACTTTTTTAGGTCTGTGTTAAGTCCCCTTATTTTCTCTTTGAATTCAGTGTTTTCCTTGTTCTTTTGTTTTAGATCAGCTTCATAGCTAATAATTATTGCATCACAATATTCCTTGCTAAGTTTAAGTTTCTTTGTAAGTTCTTTAATACTTGTTGATTCTTTCTCCTTGTCTGATCTCACTGTACTCAGCTCTTTTTGTAGGTGTTCATTATCAGTCTGCAGCAACTTTGCCTGCTTTTCTACAGTGTGGACCTTAAGCTGGGATTCTTTCAGGTTGTTACTAAGGGATGTACACTCCTCCTTGCAAAGTCCAAGTTGCTCTGTGACCTCTGGAAGACTTCTTAATGCTTCCTCCTTGTCTGATCTCACTGTACTCAGCTCCTTTTGCAGGTGTTCCTTTTCAGTCTGCAGCAACTTTGCCTGCTTTTCTACAGTGTGGACCTTAAGCTGGGATTCTTTCAGGTTGTTACTAAGGGATGTACATTCCTCCTTGCAAATTCCAAGTTGCTCTGTGACCTCTGGAAGACTTCTTAATGCTTCCTCCTTGTCTGATGTTAGTGTAATCAGGTAATTTTGTAAGTGTTCCTTTTCAGTCTGCAGCAAACTTGCCTGCTGTTCTACAGCGTGGACCTTAAGCTGGGATTCTTTCAGGTCGTTACTAAGGGATGTACACTCCTCCTGGCTAAGTACAAGTTGTTCTGTAACCTCTGGAAGACTTCTTAATGCTTCCTCCTTGTCTGATGTTTGTGTAGTCAGCTCTTTTTGCTGGAGTTTCTTCCCAGTCTGCATCAAATTGGTTGGCTGTTCAGCGGTATGGACATGCTGTAGGCTGTCACATCCCTGCTGGAATTCTTCACGACTAGTATTAAGGCAAGGGTGCAGTCTGGTACGTTCTAACTTGAATGTTTCCAATTCTATTTCTGCCTCTTGTTTCTGGGTCTGGAAGTCAGAAACTATTCTTTTATTCACCATATACATCATAATGAAAACTGTCATTGGAATAAAATCCATTAAATAACAATTCTATTATTGAAAAAGGACAAATGATATGATTAAAATTTAATAAATTATTAGGTGTATTAAAAATAATAATGTTTCAGTAATTCTTTTATACTGATGTATCATTTTATATAATTTCTGAAGATTTTAAGTACTTTTTTAAGTGTGTTTTAAGCAGAAACGAATGAGAGACTTTTGTAATTGTGAGATGTCACTGTACATCCAATAGAACCTTTAGAATGCACAAGAGCACATTTCTAGGCATCTAAGATGAAGCATCTTAGATCCCCTTAACCTATTGCCCCTAATTTTGCTCTATTGAGAAATCTGTTTCCCATTGTTCCAAGCATCCTGGATCTGCCCGTTTTTAAATTATTGCATAAAATTAATAAAATAAATTTAATTTAATTAAAATTGCATATATTTTAACAGCCAACACTGTTTTTAAAATTTACTGTATACAATGATTAAAGTAAAAGACTCATAGTCCTTCATTTATACTACATTCCTTTACTCACCAATTTTTTTCTAAATTTTCTAAAGGCATCTTTTATTGAAACACTGAAAATGTAGAAAGTACATACTGTAGTAAGAAACACACTGAAGATAGGTATCTGACATTATTTGTTACGCACTTGCTGCCATGGGCTTTAAGGTACTGTCTACTGTAAATGTATGATGCAGACAGCAGGTAGCAAAGAAAGGGTATGTAATAAATTTAGTTGTTTGTTGAAATATAAAGTATTACAAGTAATTGGGGAAATTTAAAAGGTTAGGAGAAACACATAACCATGATTTGAGATTCATCTTATAAATTCCACCAATAGTCATAAAACAGTACTGAATTCTATAATGTGGTCATTCTCTTACTTTTTCAATGAATTGATTAATGTCTTCAGTTGACACCTTTGTGTTTGCAGACTCAAATTAACCTTCTGCGAGGCACTCTGTGGCAGTCCAATTGCATCTGCTAAGCTGTCATGGAACAGCTTTTCGTTTATTTCATCATTTTTGAAGTCACCGAGGTTGGTAACAGTTTTCTGTTCATGCCTATATCATTTAGCCACATAAACATGAAAATCAACACACAGTTTATCTTTAGTATAATGAAATAACATTTAAGACATATTTTGGCATGAAAGAAGGGAGGGAGGATGGAGAGACAGACGGATTAACTTTTTTTCTTGATAGCACTGCCAAAAGTTTCTAGCACCCCCCAAAAAATTTGGTAGCACAAGTAATTTTTTTAGTAGCACATATTTCCCCCATCCTTTTCGCATCCACTAAGATAATAAGCGCTGCGCAATATTTTATTCCTTATATTTCCTAAAAAACCCCCACCCACCCACACCTATACTGTCCCCATGGATTATTATGCAAGAAAGAAGACAAAAAAGAAAAAGAAAAGAGATTTTTAAAAATTGAAAAAAAAAAAAAAATAATAATAATAAATAAGAAATAACAAAAGGAAGGAAAGAAAAAAAAAGAAAGAAGTAAAATGGTGGAAAGAAAATGACAATGTAAAAACTAAAAGAAAGGTAAGTATCAAAAATTAAATAAGAAAAAGGATGAAACAATATTAAAAAGAAAATAGATATTAAAGGGATAGTAAAGAAAAAAAGGTGTAAGGTAAAAAAATTCAACCTAACTGGAAGGAAAGGGAAAGTATTTCATCAAAAGTTTCAATTGTTAGGATTATTTCTAAGAAAATTTCTGTTAATTATTAACAGATATACACAATATACAAAAGAAAAACATGAGCAGTAATAATGTGCTAGCTAAACTGTCTAGTCAAAGGACTGCCAAAATCTGCAGTTACTTAAGTGGATCGATATATTGATTATAAAATTATTAATTATTATTACTGAACCATTAATTATATTTTCTGTACACTTTCTATAAATTTTTCAGTATTTTTCTTCATTTGTGCAGGAAATTTCGAGAAAATAGGTCAGCAGAATTGCATTAACACTGCGAATGCCTATACATTGGTTACAATAGCCACCGGCTGACTTTACTGCAACATTTGTGCGGAAATTGGCAGACTTATTTTTAATATGTGTGGATGGAATTTTTTCTTTATGAGATAACTCTAAATCAATTTACACATAATAATTTCAACCTAAACAGAATTCCAGAGTTTTCACCAACATTTCGGGAGTGCTGAGATTTCAGCTCCCCACTTGTCAAAGGCCATTTAGGCTTTGTTTTAAGCCCGAAAAATTGGCATTACACAGTCGGCCGGCGACACTTCTTATTTAGGTTATAATGTAGCCTAGAACATTAGACCTGGGCCTGTACAACTTCAGCAAAGTATCTTATACCTACATATATAACGATCTATAGTTTCATTTTCTTGTTCAATGGTTGTTTTTATTGAAAATTATTTAAAAAAAAAATACTGGTACGTACGGAAGCACCTAAGTGCCATTCGACTTGACGACTTGTCAAGATAATTTATGTTGTCAAGTCGACATAATATACATATCATGGCGAGATAGATTATCTTGACAAGTCGTCATAGTAAAAAGTGTATGTTGTCATGGCGAGATAGATTATACTGACAAGTCGACATAATACATATTGTATGTTGTCATGGCGAGATAGATGATCTTGACAAGTCGACATAATATAAGTTGTATGTTGTCATGGCAAGATAGGTTATCTTGACAAGTCGACATAATAAAAATTGTATGTTGTCATGGCGAGATAGATTATCTTGACAAGTCGACATAGTAAAAGTTGTATGTTGTCATGGCGAGATAGATTATCTTGACAAGTCTACATAGTAAAAATTGTATGTTGTCATGGCGAGATAGATTATCTTGACAAGTCGACATAGTAAAAGTTGTATGTTGTCATGGCGAGATAGATTATCTTGACAAGTTGACATACTAAAAATTGTATGTTGTCATGGTGAGATAGATTATCTTGACAAGTCGACATAATAAAAGTTGTATGTTGTCATGGTGAGATAAATTATCTTGACAAGTCGACATAGTAAAAATGTTATGTTGTCTTGGCGAGATAGGTTATCTTGACAAGTCGACATAATAAAAGTTATGTTGTCATGACAAGATTACTGTCTACTACATTCAGTGAGAAACGTTCCCAATTCCAGGATCCTCCTGGTAGACAGACACCGAGGTTGCCAGACACAAAGTCATTTGACTCTTTGTACGCCGCCGATATGAACAAAAGTAGGTCAAAAGCCAACTGGCTCGTTCAGTAAATAAATGGTAGTAAAGGAGTTGCTTTCTATATTGTTTCATTTAATTAGGTTTCAAAATTTGCTGTGAGACCTATTTGTTTGTTTTTTTTGTAAATTTCAAGATGTTGCTCATTGAGATGCACGTTGTTAATTAGCTGCTCCGTGAATCTGGCTGAGGTTATCATCAAAAAGTATTTTATACCCTTTGTTATCATCAGCCATGTGATTGAAGAAGCGTAATCTTATTTTATAATGTATGAGGTTTAGGTAATTCGTTTGGTTTTCAATAAAAGATGTCTGCCTTAATACCGGTAGTTCTTTGAATATAATCATCATCCAGATGATGCCTAATTGTATTTATTTACGATCTATTTGGAGTTAAATTTTGATTATTGCTTGATCTGGGCCGTTTACATTGTATGAGTCAATACTGTATACGATCGTTTGAAATTTCGGTACATACAGTAGTCTATTTTATGAACAAATACGTTAAGGAAACGTTCACAATTACGAGGAGGTACAGGTAAGAGTAGCACTCAATAAAATAGTAAACTAGAAATTGCAAATTGCAAGTGAAGTGCTGCGAAGTACAACTGCATATAAATGTTCTTCGAACAAAATTATTTATGCGAGTAAAGTGAAAATAATGAATAATAAAACTATAACAAATAATATGAGACACGACCCATTGTCTATATTAGAACACTTCTCATTGGGTAACAAAGTCGTAATTTTTCATTTTTGTCAAAAAGTGTCTATAGTGTGGTGAATTATGGTTTAGGTTTTTTTTAATAAAGTTTCAAAAAGTTCTATGTATGTGGAAAATGTAGTTGATTACCAAAGGTTACAATTTTTATTTTGAAGACTGCATGGTCTAGGAAGTGTACATTTTTTTATGGGGCAAGTTTCCAAGGGCAGGTTTTCTGGGCGAGTTGACTGCCAAAGAGTGTTGCCAAAGTGCGAGCCAGCATGTTATTTGATCACTCACAAGTGCGAGACATATCACAAGTGTGAGCCAGCGAGCCATGATGTCACGACAATAGATAGAAACGTTAGCCAGTTGTGCGAGGTATCGATCGACTGAGATTTGTGGAGTACAATTCAAAAAACAACTATAGACCTAATAATGAATTATTGTGATGTTAAATAGACAATGTTAGCTATCAAAGAGCGACGTTGTTTTTCATTGGGACCTTCGTCCCTTCAAGGCTAGGCCTATATACCATCCTAGCTAGTCTAGGCCTAGAGTAGGATAAGGCTAGCACGACATGCGGATGTTGGTACGAGTAGGTTAGTCTACAAACGTCGCCTAAAATAATTGATTTTACCCGGCAGAACGAAAGAAGGAAACTCCGCTTTTCAGTCGTCTTAGGCGCTCGTTTTTGACAAACAATGACCTTTCAAGGGTCAAATTGCTGTCGAGAATATGAATTGGCTGCTTCGCAGCAAAAATCGTGCAATCCGATGTTTTTATACCAGTCTCCTTCGCTTTGACGGTGATCGCTTATTTACCAAAAATAAGATGAGCGCACATCGACACGGTTTTAGTGTACGACATCACACTTTAACAGTCTAGGTCATGCTGATTGGTTGATACAGTACGTGTAAAATGAATGATAACATGTTTTGCGTACTGCCTGACTGAAAATAATGGGCTGTACAAGTTGTAAATAATTGGGATTTGGAGGGAAACCACCTTCCTGCCGCTTACAAAATCTACTCGCACTATCAAATGACCTTGTCGCACTGAGCGCGACAAAGTTGAATTCCTTGTCACACCTTAAAAAACCCGGTCGCAAATGCGACCAAATAACCCTTAATTTCAAGCCCTGCACAGTCTCAGCTTTTCCACCAATCCAACAATCATATACCCATTTGGAAAATTCAAGTTCATTTCATATATAGGAGTATACAAGTGAGCATTTTACATTTTAAAATAATATTATAATTAATAATTATTATTAAAAGCAGTAATAATGAAAATAAACTGACCTCAGAGAATAACAGCTTTTATCATCTGCTCGTACTACAGAAGTAGCAACATGCAATGGGTGTGCAGGCCTATTCACAAAAGATAGGCCTGTGTGATCTTTTGTCTCATCTGATGATTCACATTTGAATTCTTCCTTAGATTTCTTACTTTCAGTTTCAGAGATAGAAAACTTCTTTTCATCTTGTAATGGAGAAGTACTGTGGTAGTTTGGTACTGGTATAGGCCAACTAAACATGGAAGTATTCTGTGCATTATCTTTTTCTGTCCCTGAGTCTGAATCTGGGTTATTTTCACAATGTGGATTATTTTCACAATGGTTTGAAGTACTATCAGGATGATTTACTGCCATCTTCAATAAACTGTAAAAAAAGAACATATGATGTCCATTGGCAGGATAGCCATACAGAGATATTATGGTTATTATTCTTAAAATTGATTACTAAACTACCGTACTTGCACGAATAAGCTTTTTAAGGTGTGTTTATTGAAACAGGGCGCTTACTCAAACAGGGCACTTACGAAAACACAGTGAAAATTGAGGTGGTGCTTATGGAAATAGATAAAAACTGAGGATTCCTTATGGGAACTTGGAAAATTCAAGGGCGATTTTTTAATGACAAAAGATTAAGGAATCTGGAAACCGAAGATAATTGGTTAAACTATCACCCGCTAGACATCATCCCTAGAATCTCTAAGTGAAGGTTGTGGGGTTGGACGTAAGCAAAGCAAGAAAACAAAGTGCATAGAGGATTTTTTGCGATATGCCCTTAGATAAAAATCCAAAAATATAATTACTTATTAAGATTTTGAAAAGTTGGGAAATGGGCATGTAAATAAGTTCTACTATGGAATAGGTTCAAAAGAAATATACTATTATTGGAACTTGAAAATATCATTCTCGAATTTTTCCCAGTGCCTTAACTTGACAGTATTGTTAATGTTCAAATAAATTAACACTTGCCATACGGACACTGGGAAGAAAGGAGTTCCAATGCCGAGGGCTGAGTTGGTGTAAGGGCCGAGTTGGTTATGGGCCATGTCAACAAGACATGGGCCAAGATGGTGATGGGTGTAGTCAATATGGTCATAGTTGGTGAAGGGCTGAGTTAACTTGAAGCCAAAAAAACAATTGGTAAGGAAAAATATCAAAATTGTTGAAATATTAGGTTGTTGGTAGTAGTTACACAACATAAAGCAAAAACCGAAACAATGGCTGTGGGTTGAAGATGCCAATTAACAGAAAGTTCTCTTTTATCCCATAAATTTTTTTTTTTAAATGGTAGGGAAAAGTTATAGATTACAGTATACCTGTGAATAGATTTTATTTACAGAAAAAAAAAAAGAATCGATGATATGTAAAAAAATACCCAAAAGTACCAAACAAAAACAAATGGAAAAGTATTAACTAAATCATACCTGCATGTAACTAGTCATTTACTGAAAAAAAAAATATATCGATGGAAAAGACTAAAATGATGCAGAGCTGAAACAACCCTGATGGCCAAATCGAACCAACACCCATTAGATAGTACTCTCTTATACTATATTTGTAGGGCCTATGCTTAGCTACTCAACTACTACCTAGTCTAGGCCTAGCTAGGTAAGCCCGGTGGTCAGGAAATTGATATTATTGAGACTACTAGGCCTCACCTTACCTTAACTTTAGTGATTTAAAGAGGCTGGATTGGATTGGATTTATTCAGTGTTAACACCAAGGATAGCCCACAAAAGTATAAAAGAAGACTTAATATTTAGAGTGAGGTCCTTCTGGTTGTCATTGGACAGTACACCAGGAGACAATCCCCCTACTCTTTTCCAAAGAGTGTATTGCGTTCTTTAACGTGCACATGGGCCATAAATGCACACGGACAACGGCTTAAACGTCTCATCCGAAAGACGGTGCGCTATTGTAACTTGTATTTCAGCCCTCCAGCTGAAACACAAGGAGAGGCAGCAATGGGAATTGAACTGAAGACCTAGAGATCTCCACGGTTCAGCGCACACACAGTTGCTACCACCAGATTAGCCGACTGAGCTAAGCTCCTCTCTCAGGCATTGGGTTCAAAGCCTGTAATAGTTGCCTCTCTCCTTTCGTTGAGATTGTGAATCCATAGGTCTACCCTAGGCCTTTACTATTAGTCTGGAAAGAAGGCAAGCTAAAATGAATAGGACTAGTAGGCCCTACCTAGGCGTAGAAGAAAGATATAGGCCTGCGTGCTACTTTAGTAGTGGCCTACTTAGCCTAGGCCTAACTAGATAGAGTAGGACTGGCCTTTTTTATAAGTTAATTAGCCTAAACTAAGGTTAAAGCTAAGTAGGCCTAGGCTATGCTAGGCCACCACTCACACACCGACAAATGGAAACATTGAGTGAGAGGAGGCAGTCTCCACGAATATTAACTCATCGCCTCCTTATACCACTAAGGTAAGAATCACTTCCACTACCTAGCTACAGGATAAACCTAGGCAGGCCAGGCCTAGTAGTAGAACTAGAACCTAGGCCTAGCCTAGTAGTAGTAGGCCTAGCCTACCTACTACTAGGCCTAGGCCTAGCCGTACTAGCTACTAGGACTACTAGGCTACTTACAACAGTACTTATTCTGCTGGGTCTTTACTCTGACGTTTTTCCCGGTCCTTCCCTTTTTCGAGTTATTTACAACTCGGGTCAGCCCCAGATACTTACCAGCACTAAAGAGATACAATTTTTGTACGTCCAGGCTTTCTGCACCCACACAAAAAATATCTTTATTTATTCTTGGAACTACACGGATAGCAAAGATCGTATACGCTCTATAATCTTTGCTACAGGAGCATGAGCAAAGATCGCAAGATAGGTAACTCCTAGGTTGTGACTTAATTCCCGGTCATATTTGACTCCTTTCAATGATCACGTCACACTACAGCAAAT